GGGGGTGGGGCGGAACGCCAGCCGGCGGCCGGCCAGCCCCTCCTGACGCCGCCTCCCACTGCAGCTGCAAGCAGAACCAGGACCTGCTGTCCTTCTACGCCGTGGTCATGGGGCTGGACAACGCCGCTGTCAGTCGCCTGCGGCTCACCTGGGAGGTGATAAGACTCCCCTTCCTTTTCTCTTCTCCTGCCCCCAGGGCTGGCCCTGCCATCCATCCACCTGAGAATCTCAGCCTCCTGGGGTTGCTCTCAGCCTGTAAAGAGTCTTTGTGCCAATGGAAAGGAGGCGCCCTCTTCTGGCGGATTCGGCCCCAGGGCACAGAATTTGGTCCATGAACCCCGTCTTTGTGAAATCTTCCACCTGAGTGGGGCGGCAGCTAGGGCCAGGTCGCCAACTTGGCTGCGGGAGTTGACCTGATTTCCGGCTAGCCCTCAGGGGGGCACCTTGGTGCAGCTCCTCTGAGCCAAAGGCTGACTCTACTTTCCCACCCATGAGCTTCCCAGCCTCCTGCAACACTCGCAGGCCCTTTCCCCCTCTAACACAGGGGTTAGTCGGAAGTTCTCCTGAAACCCAAGGAGCTCCACTCTGACATTCCTTCTCCTTCCTTCAAACTCTCCGCAGAAGCTGCCAGGGAAATTCAAGAACTTGTTCCGCAAATTTGAGAACTTAACAGTGAGTGGGTTTGGCTTTTCATCTGCGTTGAACTTACATCCCAGAAAGCCTCTCTTCCTTTAATCCCTCTTCCTCAATCTGCCCTTTCTGTGTTTTTCCCTGGAGGAGAAGGGAGAGCAGACCAGCCCCTTCCTACCACAGCCCTGCTACACCCATGCACACCCCATCTGATCGGATCTAGAATGGAGGGAGGAGGGAGGGAGTGGGGCACAGCTTTGGGGTACGCTGGGCCTACCTGTCCCTTGATCTCTCTTCTGCGGAATGCTAGGACCCCTGCAGGAACCACAAAAGCTACCGAGAAGTAATCTCCAAGATGAAGCCCCCTGTGATTCCCTTCGTGCCTCTGATCCTCAAAGGTGAGAGTCACTCCCGACCCACATTCTTCTTCCCGCAAGCCCCTGTTCTGACTCCGTCTCCTCCTTAATCAGCTCAGTGTCCACTGGGAGAGGGGCCCCCAGAGAGATTGGGTTCCAGGGGAGGGGAAGGGGCCTCAGGGGCAGTGGCCCCTTAGACCTGCTTTCTTCCTTTCCTCACATATGGCTCTCTTCTCCCCTAGACCTGACATTCCTGCACGAGGGCAGTAAGACCCTTGTAGATGGTTTGGTGAACATTGAGAAGCTGGTGAGTGGCTCTGCCAGCCCCAGTCCTGTGAGCGGGGGGCTCGCATCTTCCCCTCTCTCTCTTGTCACCTCCCTAAAAATAGCAGCCTTCCTCCATGGGGCCCAGCTTGCCTAACAGTCCTGGCTGTCTCCCCGGTGGCATCGCTGTGGCAACCCACCCACAGGTGGCAAAGCTGACAGGCAATGGGACAACTCTGCCACCCCCTCACCTGGCACCCTGTTTGCCCCTCCTTTGGCCCTTCAGAGAACCTCCAGAATTAGGGACTGGAGGGAGTAAAACCAGCAGGGCTGGAGAATGAGGGGAGGAGCAGAAGAGGGGGAGCCTCCTTCTGTGCCCTTCCCAGGGCTCACTCCTTGTCCTCTCCCAGCATTCAGTGGCTGAAAAAGTGAGGACAATCCGCAAATACCGGAGCCGGCCCCTTTGTGAGTACCCAGGGTTCTGAGAACAGGGTGTTTGACACCAAGAGAGCTATGAGTGGGAGGGTTCAGGGGAGACCTTCCTGCTCAGATATGCATTTCCTTACACATGTCAGTTCTCCATTCTCCCCTGGGCTCCCCCCAGAAACCCTCCTGCCCAGTACCTGTCCCATCTCTGCCTGCTGTGTGTGGAGGAAGAGGGAGGCTGGGAACCTGACTGTCCCCCCTCCCTTCCCCCAGGCCTGGACATGGAGGCGTCCCCTCATCACCTGCAGACAAAGGCCTACGTGCGCCAGTTCCAGGTTATCGACAACCAGAACCTCCTCTTCGAGCTCTCCTACAAGCTGGAGGCTAATAGTCAGTGAGGATGGAGGTGCTGGTCAGCCCCCCACCAGGGTCCTTGGGCACCTGGCACTCAAGCACTTTGCAGGATGTCCCAGCTCATATCAGACACCTTTTTCCTGGAGCAACTTCCCACCCCGTGGGAAGGAGTCAGGTGGACTTACCCCGGACTCATAAGGCTGGTGGTTCTCCTGCGTCCCCCTTGTTCCTTCAACCCTAAACCACACTGTGTTGGTTCCTACCTTCTCCAGGAAAGGGGGCAGAGAGCAACATCCTCTGTCCCCTCCCATCGAGGTCTGTTCCGGAGATGGAGTTTGCAGCCTCCTCTTCCCAAGCAGGAAGGAAGGCTGCCCACCCTCCTGTCTCGCAGAGTGGGATTGTGGGAGGGATTGGCAGCTTCTCCACCACCTGTCCAGCTTCTCCTGGTTAGGCTAAGACCCCTGGGGGAATCCCCCTGGAATATTATATTGCCGTGTGTGTGTGTGTGTGTGTGTGTGTGTGTGTGTGTGTGTTTGCATGGGTCCCCTTTTAGGGTGCAGAAGTGAGAGGGTATTGTGAGTGCTGGAGGCTTCCTTCTGTTTGGTGCTACCCCTGTCTCCTCTGCCCCTGGGATGGCATGGGGTGCTTCCCCGCCCTCACCACTCCCTGCTCCACTCCTCATGCCACCTTGCATGCTCAGGCTTGCAGACCGAGCTGCTCCTGAGGGCAGGGAGCAGCAGCAGGCAGGAGGGGCTACCCGTCAGCCCTTGGGAGTCCCTCACTCTGGCCTCCCGATGGGCCCGAGTGGGCTCCCATAGGAGGGTACAAGATGCTCAGGGAAACACAGGCCCAAGCTGCCTATAGGACCCTCCCTCTGCCTTGCAGTAGGGTGGGGTGTGGCAGTATCAGGAGTTAGGGTACCTGCATTCCTGCTTTTTGGAGTGTCTCACAGCTCAGGAGGGAGTTATCATCCCCTTTCTAGCTCCTGTGTTTGACACCAAAACATGGTCTCTGTCCCTGTCCCTGTTCCTGTCTTGACTCCCCCTTTGTCCTCCCCGTAGAGTTGGGGTGGGATGGATCCCTGTATCTGAGACAGGCAGCTCTCCCAAAAATGGGGGTGGGAGGGGGACAGTGGAGACCATAAAGGCAAAACTGGACTTTGGCGAGGCCTTTATTACCTCTCTGTCTCCCTGCCTCTCCCACCACGGGCCTCCAGGGCTGAGGAGTGCAGGGGCTCCTGGCAGCTACTGGGTGAGGTTTCCTGGTGCAGCCTCACCCTCCTTTCTGGCACCTCCTC